AAAAGCTGTCCAAACCACAGGGCAGTAGCAGCCGGGTGTGCAGTTCTGACTGGACATGCATGCGTCTGCTTTCCCCATCAGATCACAGTGTTTCTCACATGGAGATCCACATTCAGAAAACACAAAGGGTTTCTCACAGTCTGATGAAACACACAGAGCAATACAGGACTGAATTCAAGTGCTTTATTTATGCTCAGAGTTTTATGATGTAAAACAACACAAACAGAACAATAACTCAAATATTCAACACATGTAAATAATTTAATTTTATCTCCATGGATAATTACAAAAACCACGCAATTACTATAAAATCTGTGAAACAATCTGGCAAATCTTAGGAAACCATGGCATGATTTTAAGTCTTGCAAGGTTTTAAGCCTGCATGTAATCCTGTATGTGAATGCGATTGTGCTTGTCATGACTGCAGTGTGTGTGTGTGTGTGTGTGTGTGTGTGTGTGTGTGTGTGTGTGTGTGTGTGTGTGTGTGTTGATGTTCACCTTTGCAGTTTTGGGGTCTGCAGGGTCGACTCTGTTTCTCCACATCAGTGCAGCGTTGCCCCCCGGTGGACAAAACCAGCGGCACTCGAACCCGCAGCTCAAACTGTGAGTTGCATAAACACTCGCTCCACACACTCCACTCCGACATTGGACACACTGACAGAAACACACACATCAGCATACTTCATCTGCTCAATCACGATACAAGACCGGCAGTTTGAGTTACAAGAGTGTGAAATACTAATTGGGTCAATTCCTGAGGAGGATAAAGCAAGGTTTGATCTTATTGACATAATACGAGTTTTAGGTTTGTGATGTGCATTTGTCATCTTTTAAAGGCTTTTTATAAATTATTTTGAATAAAATATAATTTTTTGGGGGGGAGAAATAAAATTAGCTACAATTTTTCTGCAAAAATATATAAACATTTTTTTTACTATTTAATATGATTTTTAATTAAAAATTATATTGAAATAAATTGTATATAAATTGTAATGATAAAATTAAATGCATTAAAACACAAATAAAAAACAATATGCAATTAAAATAAATAAGTACAATGGTGGGAGAAACTAAATTTCCGAAATATGCTAAATTTTATTTACATTATTATTATTATTATTATTATTATTTTTTATTTATTTATTTTTTTTATATATTTTATTTCATTTTTTGTCCCTCTGTTGTTTCCAAGGTGATTTTTGTCCCTCTGTTGTTTTCAAGGTCATGACAAGTGACTGAATATGTAAAAAATAAAATAAAATAAAATAAAATAAAATAAAATAAAATAAAATAAAATAAAAATAAAATAAAAATAAAATAACGAAATAAGATAAAATAAAAAATCAGATAAAATAAAATAAAATAAAAAATAAAATAACGAAATAAGATAAAATAAATAATTAGATAAAATAAAATAAAGTAAAATAAAAATAAAATAAGATAAAATAAAAAATAAACATAGAAATAAAATAATATAAAATAAAATAAAAAATTATAAAAAAAAAAAAAAATAAGATCAAATAAATGAATTAATAAAATAAGATCAAATAAAATAAAACATTTAATAAAATAAAATGAGATAAAATAAAAAATAAAATAAGATAATAATAGAATAAAATATAAAATAAAATAAAAAATAAAATAAGATAAAATAAAATAGAATAAAAAATTAAATTAAATAAAAAATAAAATAAGATCAAATAAAATAAAAAATAAAATTAGATAAAATAAAATAGAATTAAACATAAAATAAAATAGGACAATATAAAATAAAAAATAAAATAAAATAAAATAAAATAAGATAAAATAAAATAAAATAAAATAAAATAAAATAAAATAAAATAAAATAAAATAAAATAGCAAAAACTAATTACAGTAATATAACATCCAGATTTATCAGTTCTAAATTGGCTAAGACTCTTTGAAACTTAAAAGTGCCTGCGAAATGCATGAGGGGAAAAAAGCAGTTTTACCCAGTACAACAAATGTTAAACATTTTGACAGCAAGATTCATAACCTATGAAATAAGCTTTATTTACAAAATCTACTTGACATCTGTTACACTGAATGACTATAATAACTTTACCCATATTTTTCACAATACTAATTTAAAAATAAAAAATAACACTTAACATGCATTGAATTAGATTTTTATGCATTGAACTTCAACTCTGATATCTGGACTTTGACACAATCAATATTGTAAAAAGTGCTATATAAACAACTTTGCATTGAATTGAGAATCTATTAGTTTGATTTAGGAGCATCTTTGGCTCCTGACTGTAAATGTATGCATATGATCTTTAATGATGTGTTTCTCACCTGGACAGGCTCTCTTATAGCACATCTGCGTCTGCTCTTCATCTCTCTGGACGTCTGATGGACAGTCCTGCTCGTCTTCATCACATACACACTGTCTGCGTCTGGACATCAGACCCGCCCCACAGCTGACTGAACACCGTGACCAGGTCGACCAGGGGCAGAGGTCATCTGGAGGACACAGAGGTCACCAGGTCAGCAATACATTCAGAATTATTAGCCCCCTGTACATTTTTGTTTTCAATTTCTGTATCACATAGTGAACATTATTTAACACATTTCTAATCATAATAGTTTTAATAACTCATCTTTAATAACTGATTTATTTTATATTTGCCATAATGAGAGTAAATAATATTAGACTAGATATTCTTCAAGATACTAGTATTCAGCTTAAAGTGACATTAAAAGGCTTCACTAGGGTAATTAGGGTAAAGTTAGGGTATTTAGAGATTCATTGTATAACAGTGGTTTGTTCTGGAGACAATCCAAAACAAATATTGCTCAAGGGGGCTGATAATATTGACCTTAAAATGGCTTTAAAACATTTAAAAACTGCTTCTATTCTAGCCGAAATAAAATAAATAAGAAGAAAAAATATTAGAGGAAATACTCTGAAAAATTCCTGAATCAGTTCAACGCCATTTGGGAAATACTTGAAAATTCACAAAAGGACAAATAATTCTGACTTTAATTGTATTTACTGACAATATATACTTGCAAATATGTTTATTATTTGTATCTATATTGTTTCAAGAAAGAAGTCGCAGGTGAATAGCGTAAAAACTAAGGTCCCACTTTATATGAAGTGTCCTAAACTACAATGCGCTTGCAGCAAAAAATAAATACAATGTACTTAATAATAATTATTAATTGCTTTAACTTATATAGCGCTTTTCTGGGCACTCAAAGCGCTTTACACACAATGGGGGGATCTCCTCATCCACCAGCAGTGTGCAGCATCCACCTGGATGATGCGACGGCAGCCATTTTGCACCATACGGCACACCACACACCAGCTGATTGGTGGAGAGGAGACAGAGATGAAGCCAATTGGAATATGGGGATGGTTAGGAGGCCATGATTGACAGAGGCCAGTGGGCAGATTTGGCCAGGATGCCGGGGTTAAACCCCTACTCTTTTTGAAGGACATCCTGGGATTTTTAACGACCACAGAGAGTCGGGACCTCAGTTAAACGTCTCATCTGAAAGACGCCGCTCACTGTGCAGTATAGAGTCCCCGTCACTATACTGGGGCATTAGGACCCACACAGACCGCAGGTGCGGCGCCCCCTGCTGGCTTCACTAACACCACTTCCGGCAGCAACCTGGCTTTCCCATGTGGTCTCCCATCCAGGTACTGACCAGGCGCAGCCCTGCTTAGCTTCTGTGGGCGACCATGTGAGAGTTGCAGAGAGCTAGCTGCCGGCTACTTACTCTGTTTATAAAGCATTTGAGAACACTTGTGGTGCTCTTGAGTTGGGATAGGCGTAGGGTTATGGACAGGTTTGGTGGTATGTGTAGGTTTAAGGGTGGGTTATGGTGTAAGGAATAGTCAATAGTGTATTTACAAATGTAATTACAGAATGTAATTACATACAGGTATTTAATCAAGCATAAGTACACAGTAAATACATGTATTTACATAATTAGTACATTGCAATGAATTAATAAATTCGGTGTAAGTACATAGTAGATAAGAACACAATATAAAGTGGGACCAAAACTAATGATTAATAATAAAACACCAACAATATGTGACCACAAAAGTTGGCGTTCCTGTGTGGAGTTTGCATGTTCTCCCTGTGTTGGTGTGGGTTTCCTCCGGGTGCTCTGGTTTCCCTCACAGTCCAAACACATGCGCTATAGGGGAATTGAGGAACTACTGTAAATTGGCTGTAGTGTACGAGCGTGTGTGTGTAAGTGTATATGGGTGTTTCCCAGTACTGGGTTGCAAGTGGAAAGGCATCCGCTGTGTAAAACATATGCTGGAAAAGTTGGATCCTTCCACTGTGGCAACCACTGATTAATAAAGGGAATAAGTCCAAAAAAAAAATGAGTGAATGAATGGATGTTGATGTGTTTTTGCTTAGTATCAGTACCCAGGCAGGGTCCAGAATGGCAGTCCCGGGTGTCTCTTTCAGGTCCTGTACAGTGTGAGCCGTTGTTTCGGGGTGGAGGGTTGATGCAGGCGCGGGTTCGAATCTGTTTACTCTTTCCACAGGAAACAGGACAGGAGGACCACACTGACCACGGGGTCCAACCACCATCCACTGACCCAGCAGAACAACACTTCAGTCAATTTAACACTTTGCTCAAGGTTTAACTCTTTGCTTAAGGTTTAACTGAAATAATGCACTTACTACTGACTTAAATGCTAAAAAAAATAAAAAATTTATGACCTTTGCAGGCACTTCAGAAAAACAAAATCTAAATTAAAAGTACATTAAGCTTTATATTTATAGACACATATTTTTGTAATTATATTTATACTTTGTTAAATATGCTATTTCGTTAAAGAAAAGTCCAATAACTGAAGCAAAATGTGCATATTTATTAAAGTTAACACATCAAAATAATAATTAAATAACAAAATGAATAAATTATTTAACAAATGTTCATTAAAAGAACAATATTTATGTGGAGAAAATTTATTTGTAATCTTCCTAATGTAGGAAAAAGTATTTTAGCATTAAATTATTCATTGAATTGCTATTTTTAAACATTTTTAAAAAATAAATCTGCTAAAACTGTGATTTGATCATTAAAAATTAAAAATAAATAAATAATTTATTGAATTGCTATTTTTTTTAAATAAATCTGCTAAAACTGTGATTTGATAATTAAAAATAAATAAATAAATTTATTGAGTTGCTACTTTTAGTTTTCCTTTAAATACATCTGCTTAAACTGTGATTTGAAAATAAAAATAAATAAATAAATAAATAAATAAATTGGCTGTAATTAATTAATACATAAACAAATGAATCAATACATAATTTATGAATGTATGATTGAATGAAATAAAAACAAATGCAAAACCACAAAATTAATTAACATAAAACGATTAAAACAATGAGCTGTTTCTACTGTGTATTGCATATGAATGATATGAAATCCAAATGCAATACAAATTCATGCAATAAATGTATTAAAAATAAACCCAGTTATTCTAATTTTAGCATGATATAATCGTACACACCTTGACAGTCAATATCCTGGCAGTATTCTCCTTCAGGGATACAGGTGCTGAAACACACAAAATATTGAGTTTTTGCCAAACTTCACACCACTGTAAACGTCACGTTTTCTAAAATGTGGTAAAAAGCGTCATTATTTTCTGCTAAAAGAGTCTGACTTGTCAGTGTCTTTCACCATTGTTTGCATTCTCCATCGGTCCAGGTGTCTCCGACAGACAGTTCTCGGTTCTTATGAACACACAGAGGCGGACAAGGACCCGGATCACAAGGTTTGTGCTGAACCTCCTCAAACTGACAGCTGGAACCCTCAGCCTCCGGGACCAGAGATCTGGATAAACACAAATATATAATATAAAATTTAATTATTTCTAAATAAAATATGAAAAACAAATTTTTTGATTGTCACTTAATTAAGAAAAAAAAATAATAGAAGTCTGATTTGCCTTTATATGATTTTCTTTTCCAAAAATTTCTTAAATTATATTTAATATATACTATTTTATGTAATATTTTTCACAGTATTTCCCATAATATTTTTTCTTCTGAAGAAAGTCTTATTTGTTTTATTTCGGCTTGAATAAAACCAGTTTTTAATGATTTTAAACCCATTTTAAGGTCAATATTATCAGCCCCCTTAAGCTATATTTGTTTTGAATTGTCTAGAATAAACCACTGTTATACAATGACTTGCCTAAATACCCCAACTTAAGCCTAATTAACCTAGTTAAGTCTTTAAATGTCACTTTGAGCTGAATACTAGCGTCTTGTCAAATAGTCAAATAAATAAATTAATTTTTTTCATTAGAAAATAGAAGAATTTTACATCTGAGCGCAGTAAACATCTACGCTTTGAATACTAAAATGCTAAAAATGTATGAAATATATATTTAGAAATATATAGAGATATACTATCCTCAAAAGATTTTAATGTCTTTAATAAAAAGTCTACTCTGCTTACCAAAGCTGTATTTATTTACAGTAAAAACTGTAAAATTGTAATAAAAATTGTGAAATATTATTACAATTTAAAATAAATATTTGATTGTTTAATGTAGTTTAACATTTAATTTATTCCAGTAATTTTATAGTGAATTTCCAGCATCGCTAACCCAGTCAGATGTCACATGATGCTTCAGAAATCATAGTAATATGTCGCTTTCCTGCTCTATTATGATCAAATATGACTTTTTCTCAATAATTAATAAAGCTTCTTTTTCTATCATTTCTTCCTGCTTCATAATTTAGTAAAAATATTTCAGGATTGATGAATAAAATGTTCAGAACAGCAGCATTTAAATAAAAAAATAAAACATTTTTCATCATAAATATTTCTCTTTCACTCTTTAACAATTGGGCATGACCTTATTTGACCTCCATTATTTAATGACACTATTGTACTGTATCACAGTTTCTACAAAAATGTACACTTTCTCTCATTTTCCACCTGAAGCGGGTCCTCTGTCCCGGGCCGCAGGAGGAGCTGCAGGAGGCCCACGTGGACCAGGAGCTCCAGGTGCAGCTGCTCTTCTCTTCCGCACAGGTGTGATTGCTGCAGGTGATCTGAGCGTCTGTGCAGCTGCAGGTGTTACAGTCCTGCTGATGAGAGCTGCCCGACGCCCACACCTGACCAGACGCATCAACACAATCACACTGCCACGTCTGAACACACACACCGTCCTGCAGCAGCTGACCTACACACACAACAGATGCAACAACATTAGAGTTACGAACTGAATAGCTGACCTACATTACAAAACACTGGGACATTTGTGATTGCGATATGGCACCACTATTTTTGACACACTTGAATATAATGTATTTGAACAGTATAGTAGTCACACTGTCACGAGTAAAGCAAAGTAAAGACAGGTAAAATTTACAACCAGACTACACAAGCAGCCGATTCCCATCTATATATGTAGAGTTTGTAAAATACAAATACACTGAATAATGACTTTAATTAGCTTCATCCATGTATATCTGTGTGTGTGTGTGTGTGTGTGTGTGTGTGTGTGTGTGTGTGTGTGTGTGTGTGTGTGTGTGTGTGTGTGTGTGTGTGTTACCGTGTGGGCAGCGGCAGCCCGGCTGGCACTCAGTGTTTGTGTGGCACTGGATGCCCTGCTGCAGGTCTGAGCAGCGCTGAGGACATTCATTAGAGCAGGACACAAACTCCTGCCCCGCTGGACAGCCCCGATCACCTGAAAACACACAGCACACACTCACAGTTAAGCTGCAGAACTGACTGCAATTTTCTCGGTATAGTAAGTGGGACCTATTTTCACAATTCCAAATTTCTAATATATATTAAAAATTGATATCCTAATAAACATTAATTATAGAGTTATTTAAAATTAATTATGGGGACTTGAAAAGCCAACATACTGTTATCTCACCTAAACTTCTTCTTCTGAGACTTTTTAAAGTGTATCTCCTCCTAACCCTTTCAAGCTACATACCTCAAACTTTCATCAAACCTTCAAACTGGTCTGACTCGGGTGGCTATATCTTTTCTAACTGATCCGACTTTCGGTTTTCCGAAAAACGACCCGGAAAATTCCCAAAATTCCCATTGACTTAACATTGGGTCAAACTTTGTGAGCTCATAACTCTGCATCAGACTGTCCTACAAACTTAATAATGGCCTCTACTAACTCAGACTAGCCAGCAGCCAATCACTGATGGCCTTTTACTAGCCACTCCCTAGCAACCACTTACAACACCCTAGCAACTGTTTTATAAACTATGACTAGCTGTTCTAACCAATGCTAGTAGTTTTAACATGCTACTGACATGCTAATCTTGCTACAAACATGCTAATGACATGCTAGTCATGCTAGCACATGCTAAGCCATGCTAACAACATGTTAATTCATGCTAACAACATGCTAATTCATGCTAGAATCATGCTAGTAACATGCTAATTCATGCTAGTAACATGCTAATTCATGCTAGAATCATGCTTGTAACATGCTAATTCATGCTAATTCATGCTAACAACATGCTAATTCATGCTAAAATCATGCTAACAACATGCTAATTCATGCTAAAATCATGCTAGTAACATGCTAATTCATGCTAAAATCATGCTAGACACATGCTAATGACATGCTAGTCATGCTAGCACATGCTAAGCCATGCTAACAACATGTTAATTCATGCTAACAACATGCTAATTCGTGCAAGAATCATGCTAGTAACATGCTAATTCATGCTAGTAACATGCTAATTCATGCTAGAATCATGCTTGTAACATGCTAATTCATGCTAGAATCATGCCAACAACATGCTAATTAATGCTAGAATCATGCAAACAACATGCAAATTCATGCTAGAATCCAGCTAGTAACATGCTAATTCATGCTAGTAACATGCTAATTCATGCTAGAATCATGCTTGTAACATGCTAATTCATGCTAGAATCATGCCAACAACATGCTAATTCATGCTGGAATCATGCTAACAACATGCTAATTCATGTTAAAATCATGCTAATCATGCTAGTAACATGCTAATTCTTGCTAAAATCATGCAAATCATGCTAGTAACATGCTAATTCATGCTAGAATCATGCTAGTAACATGCTAATTCATGCTAGAATCATGCCAACAACATGCTAATTCATGCTAGAATCATGCTAATTCATGTTAGAATCATGCTAACAACATGCTAATTCATGTTAGAATCAAGCTAGTAACATGCTAATTCATGCTAACAACATGCTAATTCATGTTAAAATCATGCTAATCATGTTAGTAACATGCTAATTCTTGTTAAAATCTTGCAAATCATGCTAGTAACATGCTAATTCATGCTAAAATCATGCTAACAACATGCTAATTCATGTTAAAATCATGCTAATCATGCTAGTAACATGCTAATTCTTGTTAAAATCATGCAAATCATGCTAGTAACATGCTAATTCATGCTAGAATCATGCTAGTAACATGCTAATTCATGCCAGAATCATGCTAATAACTAATAAGGTGAGTGCGGCTGTCAATCAATATTGGTGGGCGGGGGGACCGCACTCCTATGTCAAGTTGCGGTCGCTCTGAAAACTGCTCCAATTGGTCCACCATTTTTATGTTGTTAAATTGAAAAAAAAAAGACTGTGTGTGTTTATATCACCCCAATATGACTGTCTATACACTATACTTACACACATGTCTGTCCAAACAGCCTGAAAAGTAGATTTTTCACCATAGGTGCCCTTTAAGCTGGAGCACAGAGGTGGACTTCTGAAAGAGTGATTTCTGTTGAAACCTATGCGCAGTTTTGTTTATTTAGTGTGTATTTGCGACTTGTTTTTAAAGGGGACCTACAAGATGTAAAATGCATCTCTGATGTCTCTGGAGTGTGTATGTGAAGTTTCAGCTCAACATAGCACACAGATAATGTGTTATAAATCTCTGACACTGACCTTTTTAGGTTTGATCCTAATTGTTGTGTTTTGGTGACTGTCGCTTTAAATTCAAATCAGATTGTGCTCTTTACAAGAGAGGGCGGGGCTACAAATACCTGTGTGTCAGTTTAGAGCCAGATTCAAAAGCAAGACTAACGTCCAGTGCTAATGAGGGAGAGATGGCCCTCTTTAAACTCTCCTTCAGTGGATATTTCTGGCATGTTCAATCGTTCGCTGGAGGTCGTACCGCAGGGTTTGGTGTTGCAGGGTTTGACCTGGTTCTTCTCTCCTGCACATTTGCTGCCTCCATTTTTTGGGTGGAGGACTGGAGCAGGAGCGGGTCCTGATGGAGCGACCGCCACCACAGCCTTTATCACAGCGAGACCACGAGCTCCAGCGAGACCAGCCCTCCGTCCACTGT